CTACCGTGTTACTGCGTTGAAAATCTTCTCTCTGAACAAAATATCGTGTTTGGATGTAAATGTTACATTCACATCAGCAGATCGATTGCACTCATACACTAGAATCGGTGTATTGTGGATGGCCGCGATCGGATAGTAACAGGAGTAATGTAATGGTCGTGTTATGTTGCTCTAGCACTCCTAATAACGTATCCACACATTTTCACGGATACATCTCACACATTCCTCACACCGTATCGGCACACAATATTCACATATATCTCCATCACACGCTCTCACTAACGTATTCTCACACTATCTCATCACATAACCTCCACATACTACGCTCACACATCATCTGATCGGCATAGGAAGGGCCTCGTCGGCTCGGCGGTGTGCCATGTACAGCTTCTTGTAATCTCAACACGTAATCCACACCTACCCACACGTATCTCACACGTAACCTCCAGGAACGGCCATCGTCGCTTCCGGCGGTGTGCATGTACAGTCTTTCTGTATCTTCACACGTAAATCTTCACACGTTTTCCTCACACCTTACCTCCACAACTACTCACACTATCCCGCAGAACGGTCTCGTCGCATCGGCGGTGTTGCATGTACAAGCTTCGCTCGACATCGAGGCGCGCGTTCGCGCCGCTTCAAGGAGCAGCCGGCTACACGTCGCCGTGGCTGCCCGTCGCGAGCAGACGTGCCGCGGCCGCGCCCGGGCGCCTGCGCCGCGCAACACGAAGCGACTCGGCGACGACGTGTCTGCACTTCATCAAGACTCACTGCCTGATGGACGTCCGCCGCGCAAAGCCGACGCACGCATCGCGCCCAGCGTACTACCTCCGCGACGCGTGTCTTCACGAACAGTCGTCGTAGACGCGGGATCGGGCAAGGACGCCGGGTATCTTGGTGTACTTCCTAGGCCACAGGTGCGTGGGTGGGGCAGGGAAAAGGAGAAGGAGGGGGAAGGAGGAGAGGGAGGAGGGAGGGACGTGGTAATTCTGGTGACTTGTGTCGGCTCGTGGTCTTTTCCTAAGGCACAGGTGCGTGGGTGGAGCAGGGGAGAGGAGGATGGGAAGGAGGCGCGGAGAGGGAAGGAGGGGTAGGAGAGAAAAGAGAAGAGGCATCCAGAGGTGATTGTAGGTTGTGGTTAGGTTTACATCGTCTACCTTCCTAGCACAGTGCGTGGATGAGTGCGGGAGAAGCCAGGAGACAGGAGGAGGGAAGAGGGGAGGTGTGGGGGGGGGGAGGGACGCGGGGTACTGTGTACTTCTATAGAAACAGTTCGCTGGTGGGGCAGGGAGAGGAGGAGGATGAGGCAAAGGGAGAAGGGATGAAGGGAGAGGAGAATAGGAACGAGGGGAGAAGGGAGAAGGGGACGAGGGTGAGAGGGAGGAGATGAAGAGAGAAAGAGTAAGGAATGGAGCGGGCGAAGGGAGGAGGCGGAATAAAAAAAAGGAGGAGGAGGGAGGACTGCGGGTATCTGTTACTTCCTAGGCACAGGTTTGCGTGATGTGGTGCGGGTAGAGGCAAGGAGGTGAAGGAGGGGGAGGCGTGGAGGGACGCGTGATCTAGTGTACTAACGCTAAGATGCACAGGTGGCGTGATGTGGGGGGTAGAGGGAGGATGGGGAGGGACACAGCAGCCTGTAGTCGGAATTGTATAGTATTGTAGTATGTAGAGTGTATATGTAAGTAATATGTTCTATACAGTAAGATCATAGTCTTGTAACACCTCTTTGATGTGTATTTCTGTGGTTATGTTTCACAGCTTGGCGGTGACGTTCTATAAGCTCGTTCATTGGACAGACAAGCAGGTGCAACCATGGCAGAGGTGCTACTAAAATACAGCTGAGCTCTCAAGCCCGATTCGCCAAGACTGGCGCGTGGAAGTAAGCCCGACGCGTAATGAGGCGATCGCTGCTCCTATCAGCCGACGTGAGACAATACAAACTGTGTGTGTGTGTGTGTGTGTGTGTGTGTGTGTGTGTGTGTGTGTGTGTGTGTCGTGTTGGTGTCGTGTGTAGGGTTGTGCTGTGATGCGTGCGTGCGTGTACACAGCCACCCTCCCCCACACAGCCATACCTCCTCCACACAGCCCACACTCCCCCACAACATCGCCCCACCCCCCACACAGCCCACTCCCCACACAGCCCCACGCTCCCCCACACAGTCATACCTCCTCACAACACAGCCGCCCGTCCTTCCACACATCCCCACGCTCCCTACACAGCCGCACCTCCTCCACAGCAGTCCCACCTCCGCCACACAGCCCTGCTTCCCCACATCAGCCCCACCTCCGCCCAGCACGCCCGCCTCCCCCACATCAGCCCCACTCCACCACAACAGCCCCAGCCTCCCCCACACCAAGCCCCACCCTCCCCCGCACAGCTCTGCCTCCCTGCACAGCCCCACCTCCCCCACTCAGCCGCCACCTCCCCTACAACACCCCGACCCGTCCCCAGACAGCCGCCACTGTCCCCGCACAGCACCGCCAACCTATCCCCCACACAGCCCACCCTCCCACACGCCCCACCTCCCCCACACAGCCCCACCCTCTCCCCCACAGCCCTATCACTCCCCACCAGCCCCCACCTAACACCCACACACGCCCACCTCCCCACAGCAGCCCCACCTCCCCCACACCAGCCCCACCGTCCCGCCGACAGCCCTCAGCCTCCCCCACACACCCTGCCGTCCCCCACACCTAGCCCCACCTCCCCCACACGACGTCAATACCGTCTCCCACAGCCCCCCTCTCCACACCAAGCCCACTCCCCCCACTACAGCCCCACCTCCCACCAGCCCCCCTCTTCCATAAGCCATAACCTTCCTCCACAACAGCCCCCCCCCCTCCACAAGGCCCTCCCTTCATCTCGCACAACCCTGCCTCCCCACACAGCATCGCCGTCCTCACGTTACCCACCGCCACCGTTCTTAATGACGTTTCTCGTATGCACAAGAACGCGTTCTTCCTTAACATGAGCACGGATAACGGCGCGTCTATCAAGATGTCGGTGCATAGTAGGCGAGCGCTACTCACTCTGTCCGATTTGTGTGCAGGACCCCTACTGCGGCTATGACCGCTGCCACGATGTCCCAAAGTCCATATCCAAGCCGTTCTCGACCGCACCGGACAATACGTACAATAGCGCTATAAATTAGATAGTAGCTATAGTAGTAGTAAACTTATAGTTAGCTAGTTATAGTAATTTTTAAGCATAATTTTCGTATGTATTATTCATTCCATTTCTAATTCTTTAGGCACATTTAAGCAACCACGCGAATATGTAGAATCATAGTACAGTTAGGTCTTCGATTAATCCGCCATTACCATTTTATCAGCTACGTAGAGCAACTTCTAGTCCAACTTCTGCCGACGTGCATACGATCCGGTTTAAAAAAAAGTCCCCCCCCCCCCCCCCCCTCCTTTTTAAAAAGCATCCCATGCGTTGATATATGTCACGTATTCACGCTATGAAATGTTTTTTTCTTGGTAAAATGTCTCCCAAATGCATAATTACCTTTTCCTGATTATTAACTTTGGGGTGTGTCTAAATCACAAGGCGTCTTGAAGCTTGTGAAAATACGGTATAACGCAAGTCTAGGACATTGCGTTTCACATTTTGCAAGTTTCGATAATCACTTATAGCACAAAACCCCTTCCATTTTGTTTGATACGGTCTACTACTGTTTTATAACGGACACGGGTGACCATCTTGGAAAAAGCTTCACGTTACTACAACACTCAAAGTATGACAAGAATGTCCCACTAAACACTTGTTCCTATTGTCGTTCCTGTCACGGGATGGGAGACTTCTCTCACGTGTGAGATCTGGTCTGAAGTCCGTCACTTGATTTCAGTTTACGCAGAAATTCGTTGAAGTGAAAGAGCGAAGAAGAAAATGAACACGAAAAAAACGACAAGGCAACACTATAATGGCCATTTTGATTAAGAGCTGCGGATTAGTGTAGGTTTATAGGGTAAACTCCTCATCTTGTCCTGTTCTTTTTTCAACCGTAAATCCCCAGTCTGTCAACTGAATGCTGAATCACAAGTCTGCGAGTTAGTGAGTGTTTAGTATAAAAATAGGTCACTAGTAAGAAATGCTGCAGCTGTCTTTTTCTCCTCCCCCTCTCTCTGTCTCTGACTGTCTGTTTTCTCTCTCTCTCCTGCCTTTCTCTCCCTCCCTCCTTTGCTCTCATCCATCCATGCCATCTCCTCTTCCTTCTATCCATCATATATCTATACATCCTATAGCGTATTTTCATATCATAATTCTATATATTCTATACAAATCATCCATCCATCCATACCCGTCGTCATCCGCCCGGCCAGTCCATCCATTCATTCATCCATCATCCATTCCATCATACCATCCATAATCCATCCATGTCCAATCCATCCTTTCATCCATCCGTCCGTCCATCTGTCCGTCCATCTGTCCGTCCATCCATCCATCCATCCATCCATTCATCCACCCATCCCTACGTCCGTCCATCCGTCCATCCGTCCATGCGTCCGTCCATCCATCCATTGTTCCACCACACCCTCGGCCATCACTTTCTTTTCTCTCTATTCAGTCTTTCCACTCCTGGGAAAAAATTTAGAAGCACTGTGAGTTACAGCCAGTAGCATCTCCAGTAACAAAAGTGTTGACATCTAAAGTGTGTGGATCTCCAGCCTTCCGTAAAACACCGCTGACCGCCCCCATCTCTCTGCTCGCACGCCCTGAGTAACACGTGTTGATCTCTCTCTCGCGCTCTCCGCGCACATCCGCAGAGATACTCAACGCCCAGCAGATGAAGGCCGCTCCACCGCACCCTCAGCAATCACATTCCGTAAAACACTGTCTCTCTCCCCACGCACCCCTAGTAACACGGGTTGATCTCTCTCTCTCTATCTCCCCGCGCACATCCGCAGAGATACTCAACGCCCAGCAGATGAAGGCCGTGCCCGGACAGACCGTCTACCATCACATTCCGTAAAACACTGTCTCTCTCCCTGCGCAGAGATACTCAACGCCCAGCAGATGAAGGCCGTGCCCGGGCAGACCGTCTACCTGCGCTGCGACGTGCCGACGAAGCTGAACCCGCTCGACGACGCGCGCTACGCCGTCTCGTGGTACCACCAGGGGGAGCCGGTCAAGTACGACGACGATCGTCTGCTGACGGTCGACAGCGGGCTGGTGCTGGTGAACGTCGACGGCGTGCAGACGGGCGAGTACAAGTGCATGATGCGTCAGCAGACGCTGAGCAAGTACGAGATCGTCATTGACTCGGGTGAGTTGTCGAGCAGATGATTATTAATTCGATTCAACTGATTAAACTAGTTAATAAACTGATTAATTAACTAAATCCAGTGAATTAAACGATATAATTAATGTACATTGGATAAATTAAATTAATAAAATAAATTTATTCAATTAACTAATTAATTGATCAACTTATACATTCGCCCCAATAGTTATATTTTCTAGATAAAAATTTGCATAAACATAAATATTTTGCTTTTAAAATTTTGTGCCTTTGTCACACATTTATAACCAAGTTAAAATGTAAACAAAAAACTCAAAAAAAGAAGCAATATACTCACAACTGACGTGTGTAAGCTGCATAACTTTCAATGTAATATTCATCTCTTTGAGTAACAATTTTGATTAGCGAATTATTTTCTAGCATTCTTCACGATGGTTATATATGATTATATCAGAAGTAAGATCATATAGGAGGAGTATATGACACTCCAAAATACGTGAAATTCAACATTTGCTTGCCTAATTTTACCGATGATATATTACGTGCAACTCGATAAAAATTACATCTA